GATGGAACAGGAACAAAGACAATGGTAGTGCCTTGCAGTTGATGCAAGCTGGCTGCATTGGCCAAAGTGCAGTCAGTAGATCATGCAAAGCAATTATTACCCCTCTATATGGCATCATGATGCCCAATCTGGATACTGTGTTTGGTTGTAGACCCCCTAGTAAAAGAGATCTTAACAAACTGGAGAGAATCCAGAGGAGGAGGACTAAAATGGTTAAGGGGTCTGGAGGAAGCAGAGGCTAAGAGCACTGAGCTTGTTCATCCTGAAGCCAAGATTAGCAGTGGGTCTAATGGCTGTCTTCTACTACCTAACAAGATAGACATAAAGAAGATGAAGTCAGAGCTGCACTGCAAATATTATAAAAGACAGATGCCCAGTTGCAGCAAGAGAAATTCCAGTTTGAGATATGTGGGGAGGAAATGAAATTAACAGGCTGCTCAGAGATATTGTGGAATCTTCTTCCTTGGAGACTTTCATATACCAACCAGAGAACCTGAGCAACCTGTTCAGACTTTGAATCTGGACCAGATCTGAGCAGGTGGTAGGACTAGGTAACTTTCAGAGGTGCTTTCCACCCTGAATGATTCTGAAATTGCACAGTAGTCAATACAATCTGTGTACGGTTGGTTGGCATAACTATGTGACAGGGAAATTTGGGATTTTATTCTTACCTATTGCTGAGTGCTTATACTCATGGATTTTATAATTTATTTACAGATTGGCCTAGAAAAATTTTTCTTTTATTAAATAATAAAAGTAATTTAATTTTTTCCTTCATGTGAGCAAATTTGAACAAGACAGCACAGGAAATGTATTCACTGTGGAAGAGTTTTTTAGACTCTCCACTGTGACTGAGGTTAAATCACTTGACATTTAACTCAGTTCCCTCTTTGCTTTACACCTGTGTAACAATATTTCCCTGATGTCACATAGCTATTATAAGAATGAACATATCAGTTTCTGAAGTACATCCATGGAGCATCTATCTATCTATCTATCTATCTTTCTTTCTTTCTTTCTCATTTAATTTATTTGAGATCACATCATGCTTACCAGTGCAGTATCAGTGGCTATGAGTGGGCAAAAATCCCTTACCTTTCAGGTCTCTAGCGTTCAAAGGGTGTTAACTGAATCTGGGCCTTCTAAACCCATTCAGGCTTCAGAATCCTCTGTTGTTTGGTAAATGCAGTGTTTCTTCAGATGATTGTGTTGCATGTGTTGATATACTCAACGGATTTTTAATACCAGTCACCGTTAAAGAGGACACATGGGACAGCTAGTCGTCTTTGCTCACCCAACAATGACTAGTTCTTGTATAATAGCAAATATAAGTTGTTTACCAGCCAACTGTCATTTGTGCCATGGGTAGTTATTTGAGCAGTTTTTGGCTGTTGCATTTCTTAGTTTGTGCCTCCATTTCTGTTTCTAAATGAAAATGGGGTTTGTACAGTAGATCTGTACTGTCACTTGAATGCCTTTTTTAAATGTGCAGTGGGTACAGCTTTTTCTTAAAGTTGTTAGAGAAGGCAAAAGCCCAAATCAACGGGTTTAATAATGCAAATGGAACCCAATCGCTCACAGCTGCAACATCACAATTTGACAAGACTCAAAACTCAATATGACCTTACGGAAACCATACAATGTTGAAAGTGTTACTTTAATGCTGAGAAGGAAAAGATGATGATTTGTAAAAGACCTTGATGGAGATATTATATAATAAGCAGCAAATTATATCACTGTGATGATTTTTATATATACTCTATACAAAAAGAACCCTTCCTGAAAACATTAACATTTGAAAAGCATATCGCTTGTGGAAAATCTAACTCATACTGTCAAGTTGCTAAATATATTGTTGCTCAATAAATTGGTTTTGGGTTGGAATATCTAAAATCCAAGGAATTGATTGAATGCATGCCATATACCCGAATTTACTTCTTCAATTATTATCAGTACCATATCACTTTATAAGACACTGTAAAAGCCTCTCAGCTTAGACAGCCTCTCCAGCATTCCTCATAGGTGGAGCTCTTCCATCCACAAATTTAAGTGACCTTTTTTTCACTTCACCTTTCACAAACAATGGATGCAAATGCCATGTGTATTGGCAACATAATGCACTGAATGACAGCTTGATTCTTGATTTGAAATATTAGAACAAAGGATCAGTGGTTATTAAAATTATTAAAACTATGACTGATTGTAGGAGTCAGTAATACTTGACATTCATGTGAGACTTGCTCTCAAAGAGCAGAAATAATCTCCATAGGCAAATGCCAAATACAACCTCCACCCTCCATTAGTCATGGCTAATAATCTGCCCATCATACCAGAGCACAAAAGGTGGCTGTACAATAGACCAGTCAGTCCTTAGAGCTTTCCCAGGAAGCTTCACACAGCGGTGCTAGACAGACTTGTGAGAAGGAAGACTAATGTCACATTACAGTAAAAATTAACAAGCTGATGGGCCTAAAGGGCCCAATTCTGAATC